CTATATAAAATATTATTATTAGTGCTAAAAATAACAATAATAATAAATAAGTTCAAAATGATGTAAATTAAAAGAATCAAAAGAAGACAAGCCTCTAAAAGTTCATAAATGCAACCATTTAACTAAATTATCATTTTATATTCCTAGCCACCTCAGGTACAAGTGCTCAGACTTGATATGAGCACCTGATCCCAGCCAAACTATGTGGACATAGAGATTTATAATGTTCTCTCAAAATGTTTCGATAGGTACATTTTCCAATACACTAGTACCCCCTTATCGATGATTTCTCTTCCTGTGGTTTTAGTTACCAGTCCTCAACCAAGGTCCAGAGGCCAATTATCCTCCTTTGACAAATAGTCAGAAGGTCAATGGTACCCTAACCCTATATCACAGTGCCTACGTCATTCACCTCACTTCAACTCATCACGTGGGCATTTTATCATCTCAACATCATCATGAGAAGAAGGGCAAAAACAGTACAATAAGGTATTTTGGGATATAGAGGACACTTCCACAACACTTTTATTGGAGCATATTTTTATAATTATTCTATTTTATCATTAGTTACTGTTGTTAATCTCTTACTGTGCCTACTTATAAATTAAAGTTTATCATAGGTATGTATATTTAGAAAAATATATATATATACTTAGACAAAAACTATCATCTATCATCTATCTATTATCTATCTATCCATCTATCATCCATCATCTATCTATCTATCTATCTATCTATCTATCTATCTATCTAATCATTTATCTGTCTATAGTACTATCTGTGGTTTCAGGCATCCCCTGGGGGTTTTGGAATGCATTCTCCACGGATAAGAGGGAACTACTGTAACCAGAATACTACAGAGGTAAGAGGGCCAAAGAGAGTAGAGAAAGAGAGATACAGTGCAGATTCAGGGGAGAAATAGAGAGGAGAATGGTGAGGGGGGCTAAACCCTAGCTATCAGCATTTCAGTCCCAGCCTCTAGTTCTTTTGCAGAGCAAGAGACCCCACCTTCCTGGTGCTGAGACCCCTTCTCCTCTGATGACAAATCAGTTCCTCCTTTTGAAAGTTAGCTCCATATGATTTTTCTTTCTCACAAACAACAAATGCATTCCAACGAGTATATATTTTACAATCTGACTACCACTGGTATAAAATGTTTATTGTATGTAGGGCACTGGAGAAAAATGAAGAAAATCAACACTTGTGATAATAATAGAGTAAGATTTATACCCTGCTTATTTTTGAAAATCTTAGGACAATGATCACTCTTCTATTTAATTTTGTCTTTTTATTGGCATGTTCTATTACTTGCTAACTGATTAGCTCCTCAAGCATAAAATCCATATTCAACCTATGTTTATGTGACACATGTACCCACCAGGATTGCATTGCGTGGATAAATATATGCACTTCTATACATGTATAAAATGAATAAATATTTCCTTAATAATGTATTCATTTCGGGGCGCCTGGGTGGCTCAGATGGTTAAGCGTCTGCCTTCGGCTCAGGTCATGATCTCAGGGTCCTGGGATCGAGTCCCGCATCGGGTTCCCTGCTCAGCGCAGAGCCTGCTTCTCCCTCTCCCTCTGCCACTCCCTCTGCTTGTGCTCTTCTGTCTATCTCTCTGTCAAATAAATAAATAAAATCTTTAAATAATAATAATAGTGTATTCACTACACATGGATAGTTTTTAGTGATGCAAAAAAAAAAAAGCAGCCTATAACTAAGCAGAAATGCTTTCCTTTGTGGATTTGTGTGAATATCTAATTTATTGACCATTGTACCTCATTCTAATTGAGGTTGATATATTTATATTGTATTTTCCAGAAAATATTCCCACTCATACAATGCACATGTAGAAAATACAAAGGTGTTAATTAATATTTATGGATCATTTCAAAATTATACATATTGCAAATAAAAATATACCTATTCATCAAGACTGGTTCATAAGTGCAAGATGACTAATAATAAATAGTTTCGGGGGAAAATGTGTTTCAACCACTGCTTCATAGCGTAGTACTTCCTTTTTTTTTTTAAAGATTTTATTTATTTATTTGACAGAGAGAGAGACAGCGAGAGCAGGAACACAAGCAGGGGGAGTGGGAGAGGGAGAAGCAGGCCTCCCGCCGAGCAGGGAGCCCGATGTGGGGACTCGATCCCAGCACCCTGGGATCATGACCCGAGCTGAAGGCAGACGCTTAACGACTGAGCCACCCAGGCGCCCCCATAGTGTAGTACTTCCTAGCTTGGACTATTCTAGCTGCTCATGTCTCCTTTGATATATTCGGCATGGTCTTTGACTCTAAATGGGACATGGACACAAATGGTTCATTTGTCCCTAGTGTTCAAGGCAGTTTTTTCACAAAAGGGTTTTGCAAAAATTTCCCAAAACTGAAATGTTATATAAGAAACAAGACAAATGTAGTTGTGATGTGAGATGCCCTGGACAAGAATTAAGATCAAAGTCACCTCCAAAGATGTAAGGTTCAGGCTATGTAAAGAGCTGACTAAGGATTTCTTGAGATTCTGCTTTATTTTTATCCATATAATGATCTTGGCACAGCCATAAATCTATCATTACCATCCCTTGACCTGTACTAAAAATGAAATATTGCTTCTTAGGATATAAAATGTCAATGTCACATTTGAATGTCTAAATGAAGCAGAAAAGGAGTCATATGGCACAACTTGTACAAAAATTGAAATTCTAAGGTAAAGTTTTTACTGTTTTTTTTTTTTTCATTTGCATCATTTCTTGCAAGTTATTTGTATGTGTATGGAACCCTGTGATGGATTGTACCAATACGTCATATATAGAGATATTATACTAGATGGATAAAAAGAATGTTGATAAACTGACTCTACTTATCCTAAACAAATAATAGCATTTATATGATCCTTGACATTGACAGTCTCAAGTATATTAATATATCTGATGTTAAATTTATAATCCTTGGGTCATAAATTTCCGTATCTACTCAAATAAAACTCATATCACTGCTACACTAGGGCTATCTTTTAGCTAATAGGTTTCTTCATGGAGGTTTCATAGTCACTGAATAGTTTTTAGAAAGCTATTATGTGGTCATGGCATTTTTTCATAGCAGTGTTTCTATACAGACATAGAGGGTGAGAGTAAACTACAATGAAATGTTTTGTGTATTAAAAATGCCTTTAAGGAGTGGTGCCTGGGTGGCTGTCAGTTAAGTGACAGACCAGCTCTTGATTTTGGCTCAGGTCATGATCTCAGGGTCGTGAGATCAAGCCCTGCATCAGGTTCTGCACTCAGCACAGAGTTGGCTTGAGGATTCTCTCTCCCTGTGCCCCTCCTCTCACTCGTGCTCTCTCTCTGTCTCTCCCTAAAACTAACTAAATAGATCTTTTTTTTTTAAAAAAAATGCCTTTAAGCAGAAATAACCATGAGAATTTGACAGCTTTATATACATATACATTTACAGTATGGTATTAATTTATTAACATGATGAATAATTACTTGTCTTAGGCACTTTAGTAAACATTTTTATTTCAATAAACTCAACTGAACATTTTAACTTTGAATGTGCAAGATGAATCCTGTTTTCTATTAGCAAAAGTCACTGATTTTTGTTTTTGTTGTGTGTGTATATGTGTGTGTGTGTTTAGTCTTTCCTTGTGCCTTTCTAAAGGACTATTATTTAGTAATAAGAAAAATAATACCACATAATGAGCAACACACACAAAATGCACTATCAATTTTTATAGTGATGTGAATGAATATAACAAGATATACATTGCAACCAAAAATGCTATCATTCTGTTGATGGCTGCACATTTTTTGTCAAAAGCTGACATTCATCTGAGCCACAAATGGGTGGAGTTCAAAAGTCCCCTTCTGTCCTTCCTCTTCTTCACACAACCCACAGTTAGCCCAACACCACCGGGGAGCTCATGATAATATAGAATCCTTCTAGTGAGAAGTAAGCTATTCTTCTTTGGAGTAACCGAGAATTAAAAATTAGAATAGAAAAACAATTACCTCGAATAAAATTTAATAGGAAAATATTTTATTTTATATATTTTTAAAGATTTATTCATTTATTTTAGAGAGAGAGAATGAGAGAGAGCGAGCATGTGAGCAGGAGAGGGGCAGAGGGAGAAGGGGGAGAATCTCAAGCAGACACCCCACTGAGTGTGGAGCCTGATTCAGGGCTTGATATCATGACCTGAGCCAAAATCAAGAGTCGGTCACTTAACCAAATGAGCCACCCAGGTACCCCAATAGGAAAATATTTTAATTTTATAAAACTACTTTTCATTTTCTACTATCAGCAATGAAAAGGTAATTCTTTTCATCTCAATAACTGAAACTGAATTTCTTTGGAATTGAAAGCATGATACTCTTGCTAGAAAATGCAATATGCTTAGCAACACATATAAAACTGGGAGGAAGGGCCTTCACATGGTGTTTTAACAAGCCCTCCAGGGATTGGGATTCACAAGGAAGGTAGGGAACCACTTTGTTAGGACATTATCTTGGGTTAGGTTGTCTACAAAGAAGATATCATACTGTATGTGATAGACCATTAGGATCATCATCAACTCAGAGCTTGTTAGAAGTGCAAATTCTCAGATCTCCCTTCCACACCTACTGAATCTAGGGCCAGGAACCTTTGACCCAGGAACCGGGGTTTAACAGCCTCTCCAGGTGATTCTTATTCTCTGAAAGTAGACCTTGGGATAAAGGTCCAGGTGCCAGTGATTTTTAAAGGAAGTTCCATCAGGAGAAATCAATAGAGCCTGGTAAACAGAATCAAGAAGCAGAAGACAGAGGCAGGAGCCCAGTTTTATGTGAAGTTTCAGCCTTAGCCTGACCCTGGACAGGCCTCGAGTAGGAATTGCACTTTATGGGTAATTCTTCTAGGCTTTCTTACAAGGTGTGACCCTTCACGCCTGCTCCTGCACTATCTGCAATCTTTGAATTCTTAGTGAGGCAGCTCCAGGAGCCCAAGAGCAGTCCTCTGAAGAAGAATTCAGGATGAAGCTGCTGGAAATAAAGCATCTAGAACTGGAGGTATGAGTGTGCAGAACTGGGGAAAGGAATCTAAGGGGACTGTGGTGGAAGAAAAAAATGTGCTTCCCTTGGAAATATAGTTTGTTTGTTTGTTTGTTTTTAATATAGAGCTTTGATTCAGATCCTCAGCATGTCTTGCTTGCTTTTTAGTACTGAGTAATTTATGCAACTATCTAAGCCTGAGCCCCATTTTGGCACCAGTAAAATTGGCATCAGAATGTACAGCACTTTTAGAAATTTAAATAAGAGAATGCATAGACAAGTATGAAGCAGATAGACTCATGCTTTGTAGGTGTGGATGAATCAGTGGGACTGAAATAGTTAAAATAATTTTGTTTCCTTTGGAGGTCTCTAAATGATTTGCATCTGTTAACTTATATAATTTAAGAGCAGCACTGTGAGGTAAGCTGGAAATTTTTGTCAAATATCAGAGAGCCTAGTTTAGTACATTTTTAATTGAAAACAATCTTTAATGATCCATGATGTGAACCTCCATATATTTAGTTATATCAATTCTATATTTAAATTACTCTTCTATGGTCAATTAGTAATTTTTCAAATGTAATTGAAATGTAGTCACGAGAGATATAAACATATATTCTACTCAGAATTTTCATTTTTGAGGAAATCGCTATGAATAACAGCTCAACATCACAGGACTGGTTGTTCTTGCTCTTCACAGAATATTTTTTGTTGTTATCTACATGAGAGAACATCATGAGATATGAACAGTAAATTCAGTGTTTCATGAAAATAAATGTATTTTAGTTTCATCAAAGATAGTTCTACTGCTTTGAGTATGCAAGAAAAATCTCATCTTGAAGTTACTATTATTAAGTTATAATTCTATAGCTTTTATAGAAATATTAGGTGTAGCTTTTTCTTATTCATAGATTATAAAATACATTGTGTTCTTAAATTTGCTGGAAATCATAATATTTTATGATACATAAAATAGTATGTCAGTTTTGAAATTGTTTGATGGCTTTAAATACATTACTTTATGACAGAAGCCTTTAAAAACAAAGCAAAAGAAAAGAAAAATCCCAATGGAAAATTTGCCACATCCTTGTTCTCATAATCTGCAAAATGACAATCTAACATAGTCTTTTTAATCAAAATTGATACCTAACTTGACTCAATATAACACAGTCACAAAAATAATAATCTGTTAGCCATATGTAAGTGTGCAATGTCAATAATAATGTCACTTTATATCAAATATGAATTGCATAAAATCTAATATAATAATAAAGGAAGTGAGAATTTTTTTATAATTTATTTAGTCTAAAATATTGTATACATTGAGTCAGTTCTAAGTGTGATTGGCCAATAACACGGTACAACTAGATTTTAGAAATAATAGCCAACAGTGGTTTTTAAATCAAACATTCACATATGTATATAGGCATCTGTGGTGCCATTATCCATTTTGTGCTCCTAAGGACCCATTACCAACACCGGTTTAGGATTTGTGTACATATTTATGTGGGCACTTTTGAAAATTGGCTTCCCTTGATACTCTAATAAGCAGCATAACTCAGAGCAATACTTTGAAGACTAAGGATGAAGTGGTGTGTGCTGACTCTATCCCATACATTATTTAGCATTTTTTTTTTTTTATCATAGTGCATAAAGTCAGCATGCCTAAAGCAAATGAATGGAAGCTAAAACTCTCCTTTTGGGAGCATAGAGCTATGGACCCACACACATATATTTTTTTCTGTAGTACACACATATATTCTGTCATTTGTCAGTGTTAATGCTAATATATTTTAAGTTCAAGTCTTCAAAGTTAGGGCAACAGATTTTATACCACAGGAGTCTAGTACAGGATTAGTGGCTAACACAAGGTCTTATTTTCTTTTGTGACATGATTTTTTTCCACATAAATTGTATTTTCATGGATGCTATTAATTTTATTCATGGATTTTATAAGGAATTAATATGTTCTTTTAATTTGGCAGTTCTTATGATTTAAAAAAGCCATACATATCAACATTTTCTTTACCTAATCCTGTACCTGCTAAGTGAAATAATACCTGGAGGATTTTTACTGTCATACATGAACTATTATTTAGGAGAATCATTTTTTTTAAAGCAGATTTGTCCTTCCTTAATAGACTCCCTATTCTTTAAGGCCACCTTTTATCAAAATTCCCCTTTAATTTGAGCTGTATCTCAAGTGCAGTATGCTGGCTTACTACCTCCTTTTTAGCCACTTTAGCAATTTATACCTTTGTTACGCCACATCACTATTTATTAGAGTTGTAAAGTCACTTCCTCCCACTCACTTCTGATATAATGATCACCTTAAAGATAAATAGATATGGTTATTGACCTTGTGAATTTTAATGTCAAGGTAATGATAGACACAGGTGACTTCAATTTACTCTATCATGATGGGGACTGGCTACATGTTCATCTTGCTATCTTTTCTTCCTGGGTACCCGGGAGAACTATAGTTGGGTTAGTGCTCTAGGGTTTGCTCTGGCTGTTGGAATATGATCAGAATTGATATATAATACTTTCCATCCTAGAGTCTCCCATAAAATCCATGGTTCACTCTTTCTTTAAAAATGATTGCTGAATGCAGGATCCAGCAGAGGACTTTGAGTAGGCCCTTTGGGGCAGGAGAGTCACCAATTGGAAAAGCCCCTGCTTCTTTAGTTGCAGTGTGAATGGTTACTCATTAAACACCAATCAGACTATGATAGGAGCAAGAACTAAACCTTGATTTCTTAAGCTGCTAAGAGTTTGGAGATTTTTTTGTGTGCTTGCTTTTAGCACTGAAGCAGAACCTAACCTATCCTGACTAGTAGAAATACATGGTAAGTCCTATATTAGAACATTTTTTCCCCTTTCTTTCTCTTTCTCTTTTTCCTTTCCTTTCTCTCTTTCCTTTTCTTTCTTTCTTTCTTTCTTTCTTTCTTTCTTTCTCTCTTTCTTTCCTTCCTTCCTTCCTTCCTTCCTTCCTTCCTTCCTTCCTTCCTTTCTTCTTTTTTTCTTATGATCTTTGGATTTTAAAAGAGGATTTTAATTGGCATCCATCCTTCCCTTTCTTCTTCTTCTTTTTTTTTTTAATTAAGATTTTATTTGTTTATTTGACAGAGAGAGAAAGCACAAGCAGGGGAAAGGGGAGAAGGAGAGGGAGAAGCAGGCTCCCTGCTCAGAGCCCGATGTGGGGCTCGATCCCAGGACCCTGGGATCATGACCTGAGCTGGCAACGCTTAACCAACTGAGCCATCCAGGAGTCCCTGTCCCTTTCTTCTTTATTCACATTTCATTCTCATCTCCATGGGCACCATAGTCAACTATTTTATTTATTTTTAAAAATATTTTATTTATTTGAGAGAGAGAGAGAGAATGTGTGCTAGTGTGAGTTGGGGGGGCAGAGGGGGAGGGAGGGAGGGGGAGGAATCTTGAGCAGACTCTGCACTGAGCATGGAGCTTGATTGACACAGGGCTTGATCTCACGACCCTGATTTCACGAACTGAGCCAAAACCAAGAATTGGACCCTTAACCAGCTGAGCCACCCCAATAACCAACTATTTTAATCACTATCTTAAAAAATATCTTGTAGGGCACCTAAGTGGCTCAGTTGGTTGGTTAAGTGTCTGCCTTCAGCTCAGGTCATGATCCTGGAGTCCTGGGATTGAGCCCCATGGAGCAGGCTCTGTGCTCAGTGGAAGTCTGCTTCTCTCTCTCCCTCTGCTCCTCCCTCGGCTCATGCTTGCTCTGTTTCTCTCTCTCTTTCACTCTCTCTCTCTCAAATAAATAAATAAAATCTTTTAAAAAATATCTCAGGCGCCCCTTCATCTTCCTTACTCTCAAGTATTGGGAATTTTTAAGATTCTATTTGGCATCCTCTTCTCTTTGCATTCCACAACTTCTTCCTTGGATATTACCTTCCTTCACATGGGAATTTTCCATGATTTTGTTCTGGTATCACTCACATTTTTATTTGTAATCCAGACATCTCTTTTAAAATACAAAGCCACCAGAATATATGCTTGTTTTGTTTGTATATATGCTTATATATTTACTTGTTTTGTTCTCTATTATGTCCTCAGTGCAAATGACACAATTTAGCTTTAGTATATTAAGTAGTTGTTGAATAAACAAACACTCAAGCTAAACATGTATGTGTCTAAGAAACACATTCCATTAAAAGTTGATATCTCTAAAACTGAACTCACCAAATACTGACATTTTCCATTTATCTAATTCACCATCAATATAAATAGCACAGCCATCCAAGAAGTAGATTTAGCTGAAAGTCTGGTGACATATACCTTCCTCTATCATATGTCATTCTTGTTGCTAAATTTGCCTCAAGTTTTCAAATCTTTCACTTCTCCTATATTTGTTGCAGTCACTATTGTTGCAGCATATCCTCCCTCACCTGGACTACTGAATTAAGCTCTAAGATATTCTCTTCCTGAGGGGTTTCCTGTCATCTTTCCCTAGAAATATGTACAAATAGTTGAATGATCCTCATGAAAAAATAAGTTGAATATATTATAATCAATTTAATATTATGATCTCAAATCTCAAATATTCTTTTTACATTGCCTGGAAATATTTACTTTCAATAGGAAGCTCAACACATTCTTCCATATTTTTCTTCAAACTTCTGTTGCCTTTTAACTTCTACCCTTCTGTACACACAATTAATGTGTTCAGAAAAGAAAATAAAGAAACAACTAAGACTGCATCAACCCCATGCCCTCTCTCCACCTCTAAACTCTCTGCAATTGCACTTGTCTCAACCTTTACCTTCTCTTACACCTAAAGCAGCTTCCCTCCTCTCACAAGGAGATAACCTCGGCTTTGTGCCCTGGATTGCATCAACTCTTACCTTTTAAAGAAACGTGGCTCCTTGTATAATCCTTTTAATTTCCTAAGTTTTGAGCTATCCCCTGCAGCATACAAATATACTCAAATCCTTATCCATATGGCTCTTCCTTCCTATAAGCTATTCTCTTATTTCTCAACA